TGGAGCTAGAGAAAAGGGAGGAGCTATTGACCAGGGCAGAGCTAGAGAGCAGTGTTGAGCTAGAGAGTAGGGCGGAGCTAGAGAGAAAGGTGGGGCTAGGAATCAGGATGGGGCTGGAGAGAAGGGCGGGGTTAGGGCGGATGACAGAGTTAGTCCGAATGACAGAGCTAGGGAGTAGCATGGAGGTAGGGACAGGGTGCAGGCTGGAGCTGGATCGAAGGGATGAGCTAGAAGTAAGGATGGAGCTAAGGCGGGGAGCTGAGTTTGAAGTAAGGACAAAATTAGAAAGGGAGCAAGGGAAAAGATTTTCACTTTTAGATGTGTTCATCATTGACAGCTTTGATCGACTGAGATATTTATGCTGCGTAGAGACATATGTGTCAAGTTTGTTTACAAACAACAACTAGTTTTAAGAAGTATGATTTGCGTAGAGACTATAAAACTGTAGTTGATTAAGCAAAATACATACGTCACAATCTAGCGTACATTTTCCTCCATTTGTCCTGACGGGGCTCTCAATAAAACTTTATTGTGGTCAATTAGAGATTTTTCAGCTGCAAAGCATTTGTTTTTAGTTTTAGTTTTCAAGCAGTAATTGGCAAAATTCTTATCGATTTTTGTGAAAGAGCTTGCAACTATTGGATCACTGTGGTTACAGTTCCCCGTGTGAATATATCTAAAAAGTTTGTTAGCTGTATGCTGTAAAGGAAACTTTATTCATTAGATACATTTTCTTAATGGAAATTATACAATGTATCTATGTTTAAGTAATACAATATATACGTTATGGAAATGAATAATATGCATAAACATCAATACATATATATATGACATACATAATATAAAATAATCCAGGAAATATAGAATTGATATCACATAGAATTGAAATAGCAATAACAAATGTGTCATCAGTATAAAGAAAAAACGCTGTTAGTAAAATCCTATCGTTTTGATTAAAATTTCAAATATTTTGATAATATTTGGCTTGACAATTTGCAATTAGGAATTGCAATTCAGATTTTAGAATTTGTTAGTGTCAAAAATAATGTTAATATCTTATGAACCTTAATCATAATTTAAATGATACGTTTATAAATGGCTATCGAAATGCTAGAACACAATGATAGGAAAATCTAAAACTAAAGAAAGTAGATCATCTATTTTTTACAAATTAAAGATTTATGACTAGGCTTTATTTTTCTGTTGCAATTGTGAACATTTTTGCTTTGTACACATTGTAAAACAAAAATAAACAAATTTTGAAAAAAAAAACAATCGTGGAACTTTTTTTCAGGAGGCTATTTTTGAAATTTTGATCATCCATTTCTTGGGTTCATGTGAGGTCCAACACAGAATTCGGGCCCGATCGGTTCAGCCGTTTTGACGTTTATTGGATACAAACAAACAGAAAGGCAGATAAGAAAAGTATAAATATATATATAGATTCCAGTTCATTTGTGCAGAACACTTTGTGACTTTATCAAAACAAACAGGAGATCAAAGTTGGGCAAACATTAAACTTTAAGCTTTCAATACAAATATATTTTCATAAGAATCTTAGTGAAAAATAAAAACATTAATTAGATTGGTTAAAGAGTGTTGTTACTTTTAAAAATTAAGACATTATTTATAGCTTCAAATTAATAATGAGACTGCACTTCACAAAGGAGTTGTGTCTTTGCCACAAACTGTATATTTATAATTCCTTTATCTTTCCAACCTGATGGTGTAAAACTCTTATATTTCAAACCTAGACTGTATGATCTGACAGAATATATAGTTTGAAATATCAAAGGTCTATACGACATTTGGTTGCAATTATATAGTTTGAAATATCAAAGGTCTACGACATATGGTTGCAAAGATATAGGGATTATGATATCAGGATTTGTGGCAAAGACTCAATTCCTTAAAGAGCTGTCCGGCGTGTCCTATATTTACAATGTTACTCTTAAGATATTTTAGTTTTTCTCCGACAACGCGCCTTGTTAACTCTTTTTTTAAAAAGCAAGTTTTTTTGTATGCCGTTGTAAATGGGGCCTTCAACTTATTATATGGATGGATGGATGAAAATACGTCGAATACTCCCTTTAAAGTCTTTAAAGTATTTTGAATGAGGGAGGTCTTGCCCCAAACCTGAATATTTGTTATAAAATATATAATCCGATTACAATCCATCATATTTACCAGACATTGCTATATTCACCTTGGAACCAGATCCAGATCATGCATACATTTAACTAATTCAAATATATAATCGATTAATCGTTTTTTCTTTATAGCAGAAAAAAAAAGAAAATAAGGTTTCTGCATGCGCAAACATTTATATGTAATTTCAGGAAAGTTTGACCAAATTTTGTTTAAAAATGACTTTTTAAAATTTATAAAAAGTATGTTTATATAAAAATATTAGCCTTTGAGAAAATGCACAACAACTGTTGTATAGTGTAAATGCAGTACGTTTTACAGCAATCAAACGCAAAAGGAATTGAGTCTTTGCCAAAAACTCTAATTTTCTAATCCCTATTTCTTTGCAACCCAATGTTGTATAACCTGAGATATTTTATAATATGCATTTTGTTAGATTAAATAATCTAAGTATGAAATATCAAAGATGCATACCATCAGGTTGCAAAGATAAAAGGATTTGAAAATTTGAGTTTGTATTATTCTTCTGAAATCCATATAACAACAGACACACTGGAAAATAATGTTTTCAAGTTTTGCGCGATTATTACGCACATTCCTAGGATGGTCAATGAACTCTTGAAAATATTTATTTTTAAAATGAAATTTTTAATTTTATTGATATAGTTTAATGTTTAGGACGAACCAGTTGCGCAGAAGCCTTTCTCGTTTGAGGTCATTTTTTTTAGAGAAACATTTTTAAATTATAAATTAAGTTGAACAATATCTATCCAATGTTTTTGTAAAGATAATTTGATATCAATAGTTGTTGTTTAGTTTAAATCTTGCCATCATACCTAACATTATGCTTCAATGATTGTTTTTATTTAAAAACAGTTTTTAAAAATATTTTGTAATTAATTTGAAAAATTTAGGTTGAAATCGATGATCTACCTACTAGTACACTGAAGGAGATGATTTATCAAGAAGTTCTTACATTCAAGAATACACATATTCATGTTATCTAGTAATAAATACCTTCTTTACCGTATTTACCACAGTGGACAGGGGTCCATAAACTCCCATCCAATACACATATTCATGTTATCTAGTAATATATATCTTCTTTACCATATTTACCACAGGGCTCCATAAACTTCCACCCAATACAATCCCAAATGTTGGTTGATAGATATTAGGGGCAGAAATTAACCATGTTGTTGTAGTAAACAATGTTTTTTTTGCAAGGAAAATTTTATTTTTCTGTATATCATATTTTATCCTTATATGTTGATAAACTGATATTTACATCATTTCATATCCAAAATACAGAACACATTTCTAAAATGTAGTAGACGTACACAAAAACTTGCAAAAGTTCACAATGACACAGAAAGTGTATTTTCATGCCCATATATTTACTTTTTATACAGATCCCATTCGGGATCAAAAATGGAATTATATGGACACCTGCAATTGAACTGATTACTCACAGCAAACTCTTATTTGAATCCTTTTATTAATGTGCAACCTGATGCTGAACGCTGCAAGTTATAAATTAACAGTTATAGAATTAAATATCAAAGGTTAACATCATTGGGTTACAAAGATATACGGATAAGGATTAAAAATTAGAGTATAAAAGTGGTCAGTTTTTTCGGAACTTATCTTTTTTTCAATGTATTTTGTCTTTAATGTAAGCATTTGTATAGTAAGCATGATTAGTATATAAGAATTGAGCAAACCGACCTTCGGAGGATTAAGCATTTACCTTTAACAAAATATTGTGATAAAAAATCCATATCGTTATTACATTTCTGATAGAACAGTTAAATAATCCTTACATTTCTAATAGGACAGTTAAATAATCCTTACATTTCTGATAGAACAGTTAAATAGTCCTTACATTTCTGATAGGACAGTTAAATAATCCTTACATTTCTAATAAGACAGTTAAATAATCCTTACATTTCTGATAGGAGAATAAAATATTCCTTACATTTCTGATAGGAGGATTCAATAATTCTTACATTTTTTATAGGACTGTTAATAATCCTTACATTTTTGATAGGACTATTAATAATCCTTACATTTATGATAGCACGATTTAATTATCCTTACATTTCTGATAGGACAGTTAAATAATCCTTACATTTCTGATAGAACGATTTAATAATCCTTACATTTCTGGTAAAAAAATTCAAGAATCCTTACATTTCAAATAGGATTTTTTAATAATCCTTACATTTCTAATAGGAAGATTCAATAATCTTTACATTTCTGATAAGACAGTTCAATAATCCTTACATTTCTGATAAAACGATTTAATAATATTATACATTTCGGAAAGGAAAACTTAATAATCCTTACATTTCTGAAAGAAAGATTCAATTATCACATAAATTAATTTGTAAGCCAAAATATAAATATGAATTTAGAGGTAACATGTCTTTCATTTTGAGGAAACATGAAGTTTTCAAATTTTTTTTATAACTTCTTTAAATATTTGAACTTTTTTATGACCAAATTTTGTAATGTAAATGCACAATTCTCCGGGGCCGGGCTGGGGCTTATTTCTTAAAAAATGGGTCATGCTTATTGCTTAATGTATACGTGCTGTATTTGTAAGAATTTATGTTTTAAAGGTATTTATAGAATTATTTATTCATCGATAAAATCATCTTATTTCTAAGTGCCGGAAGCAAAAAAATTATTGATGAAACTTTCTGACTTTATTACTTAAGAAGAAATGCAGTCCAAAATTGAGTTTTTGAAAAAATGTCCAAATAATGGGAAAAAAATTTGTTGACCTTTTCTTTTGGTTTTTAATTCAAAAGCTAGATCCCAATTTAGGTCTGAATGCAAAAAAAATGGCAATGAAGTCAGAAGGCTTCATCGGCCTTTTAAAGGGAGAAAATACGGGAGAAGGGGAGGGGAGAATTGTATAAGAAGAGGAGAAAATGCATTTTAGAGTCCACAATTGAGTTTCCCGACCCAGAATTAGTGACTTTAGAAACCCCACATGGATCTAACCCAAAGTTTTTGAAAAAATGTCCGAAAAATGCGATTAAAATGAGGGGGGAAAAGAAATTAGTTTTTACCACAAACTCGTAACTATTTCTCCCCTATATCTTAGCAACCCAATGTCGTAGACCTTTGATATGTCAAGCTATGAATTCTGTTTATCAAATAGTCTGAGTTTGAAAGATCATCGGTCTACACCATCTAGTTGCAAAGATATAGGGATTAAAAAATTTAAGCTTGTGGAAAAAATTCAATTACTTTTTTTCCCCCCATTTTGGTTTTTGATTTAAAACTAAATCCCAAGTCCGGCCTGCATTGCATGCAAAAAAATCAGAGCGAAATCTCTAAAAACAACGTCAGAAAGACCCCCCCTTTGTATGGACTTGTTGACATTTCCCCTTTACTTGTCTACAAAACAAATATTTTGTGATTTGAAAACATTAATGTAAAATAACAAATGTTGAATATTTTAAAGTGAAATGTGAAAAACTACTTATCATTATTTAAAGTGTTATACAATGTATAATCTAAAATACTTGTATTGTCTTCTCGGTTTAAGCTATACAATTTGAATATCCAATTCCAAATTACGTTAAAACAACAACTTTTAAAAATATTTTCGATTGACAATTTTACTTCTTTTCAAGTTTAGTTTCAGATCTTGTCCGATTTTAACTTATAAATATGAAATATCAAAAAAACTTTCAAATAAAAATATCATCTAAAAACAATTTTAGTTTTGTTTAACTTGATTTTCAGCATAAATGTCACATGTGCTAAACCAGGCCGTAAGTTTACAATTATTTATATAAAAATAATTAGAATAATTCCTTTATTAATGTATTCTTAAAAGATTATTTTTGTTCAACTCAACATTTTTTTATTAAACCAAAATTTTAAAAACTTTTTAATAATCGCACTTTTTTAGTTTGGCGCTGTACAAAATTTGTCACTTTTTTCTGAATTTTTACGTCTTTGTCTCAGCTTTTTACAATTGTTGTAATTATCTATTCTTGAAATAAAACTAAAAATAAATTGTTCTTCTTTACTTTAATGCGTAAATACCTAATACCCAAAGTTTCGCAGATTTCCACAAAAAAAAATACACAAAATTTGGAAAAGATGTGGCCATAAACCACCTCTTGGTCTGGCTATGCCAGGTCATATTTGTTCAAAGTTTTTTTTGGAACAAACAAACCAACAAACAGACAAGACTCATTGTAAGTTTTTCCTATCTTATATTTGCTCCCTCCCCCCTCCTCCCCCTACCCCTCCATCTTCTCTTTAGCTTTTGTTAAATCTTTTCCTATCTTATATTTGCTTCCTCCCCCCTCCTCCCTCTACCCTTCCATCTTCTCTTAAGCTTTTGTTAAATCTTTTCCCCTGCAATCTCTTATTCCCCTGCAATCTCTTATTTCCCCTGCTATCTCTTATTCCCCTGCAATCTCTTATTTCCCCTGCAATCTCTTATTTCCCTGCAATCTCTTATTCCCCTGCAATCTCTTATTCCCCTGCAATCTCTTATTTCCCCTGCAATCTCTTATTTCTCCTGTAATCTCTTGTTTCCCTGCAATCTCTTATTTCCCTTCAATCTCTTATTTCCCTGCAATCTCTTATTTCCCCTGCAATCTCTTCCTCTCTACTGCCCTTAGCAATTGACCGTTTACTCTCATTGTTCTATATTATAGAAAGGTTTGCAGTTATGTAATTAGTCTCCACTAAATATAGTTTAGTTTACATAATCTATTCTTTGTACATCAGATTTTTTGATAAAACTACATATTGAACAAGCAAATTAGGTATTTTGTGTTAAATTGCTCTTTTTAATTTGCTCCAACTTTACTTTAACCTCTTTTGCTCCATCAAGTAACAAATAAGGTCCGGTAAAACAAGAGAAGGACCGAGAATGAGTATTTTGAGATAATAATTGAGATAAAAAAAATGAAGGATGATTATGATCGAGGATGAGTATGATCGAGGATGATTTTGATTGAGGATGAGTATAATCCAGGATGATTATGATCGAGGATGAGTATGATCGGATGATTTTGATCGAGGATGAGTATGATCGAGGATAAGTATGATCTAGGATGATTATGATCGAGGATGAGTATGATCGAGGATGATTTTGATTGAGGATGAGTATAATCCAGGATGATTATGATCGAGGATGAGTATGATCGAGGATGATTTTGATCGAGGATGAGTATGATCGAGGATAAGTATGATCTAGGATGAGTATGATCGAGGATAAGCATGATCGAGGATGATTTTGATTGAGGATGATAATGATCGAGGATGAGTATGATCGAGGATGATTTTGATTGAGGATGAGTATGATCGAGGATAAGTATGATCCAAGATGAGTATGATCGAGGATGATTTTGATTGAGGATGAGTATGATCAAGGATGAGTATAATCGAGGATGATTTTGATTGAGGATGAGTATGATCGAGGATGAGAATGATCGAGGATGAGTATGATCGAGGATAAGTATGATCGAGGATGAGTATAATCGAGGATGAGTATGATCGAGGATAAGTATGATCGAGGATGAGTATGATCAAGGATGAGTATGATCGAGGATTAGTATGATCGAATATGAGTATGATCGAGGATGATTATGATCAAAGAGAAATATGGTGAGAATGATACTTAGAATAAGAATGATAAGGGGGGGGGGGAATAAAAAGGATAAAAATGAGAAGGAGAATTAGGATGAGTAAGATAAGGGATAAATATAGAGGATGAGGATAAGTATAATAAGGGGGAAATAATAAAGAGAAAAAAATGATAAGTATAATAAAGGGGGAATGAGAAGGATGAGAATGAGGATAAGTATAATAAGGGGAAAATGACAAAGATAAGAATGAGGATAAGTATAATAAGGGAGAAATGAGAAGGGTGAGAATGAGGATGAGTATGATAAGGGAGAAATAAGAAGGATGAGAATGAGGATGAGTATGATAAGGGAGAAATGAGAAAGATAAAAATGAGGATGAGTATAATAAGGGAGAAATGAGAAGGATGAGAATGGGCAATATTCAGTGGCTAGAGGCGCAACTTTAGACACCCAAATTGTCATGTTTTGAAAACATTTAAAAAATCGAACATTTTTTGCTGCGTGTTGGTAATTTTTGAACAAAAATTTATTTTTGTCCCAGGATTATGAGAAGGGTGAGAAAGAGGATAAGTATGAGAAGGGAGAAATGATGAGATAGAGAGCAACATGTGATGATATGGCATGAACAGAAAAAATAAATAAAATCATTTAGAAGACAAATGTTACAGATAGCGATCCATAGATTAACAGCACAGAGATTAACAACACAAAAATTAACAATACAAAGATTAACAACACAAAGATTAACAACTCAAAGATTTACAGCACAAAGATTAACAACACAGAGATTAACAACACAAAGATTTACAGCACAAAGATTAAAAACACAGAGATTAACAACACAAAGATTAACAACACAAAGATTAACAACACAAAGATTAACAGCACACAGATTAACAACACAAAGATTAACTACACAAAGATTAACTTCACAAGATTAACAGCACAGAGATTAACTACACAAAGATTAACAGCACAAAGATTAACTTCACAAGATTAACAACACAGATATTAACAACACAAAGATTAACAACACAGAGATTAACAACACAAAGATTAACAACACAAAGATTAACAACACACAGATTAACAACACAAAGATTAACAACACAAAGATTAACAACACAGAGATTAACAACTCAAAGATTAACAACACAAAGATTGACAACGCAAAGATTAACAACACAAAGATTAACAACACAGAGATTAACAGCACAAAGATTAACAACACAGAGATTTACAGCACAAAGATTAACAAAACAAAGATTAACAACACAAAGATTAACAGCACAAAGATTAACAACACAGAGATTTACAGCACAAAGATTAACAACACAAAGATTAACAACACAAAGATTAACTACACAAAGATTAACTTCACAAGATTAACAGCACAGAGATTAACTACACAAAGATTAACAGCACAAAGATTAACTTCACAAGATTAACAACACAGATATTAACAACACAAAGATTAACAACACAGAGATTAACAACTCAAAGATTAACAACACAAAGATTGACAACGCAAAGATTAACAACACAAAGATTAACAACACAGAGATTAACAACACAGAGATTAACAACACAAGGATTAACAACACAAAGATTAACTCCACAAATGTTCCGAGCTCTAAATAAATTAATGAAGCGAGAGATTAAGGAAAATACTTGAAACAAAATATTAAAAAATAGATATTTTTGTGTCAAATCTTTAATTAACTCAGCACAGTAACTGTTTAATCTTGAATATTGACCAAACTTAGATAGTACTTCCCGAACATGCAAATCTTTATTATTCTAAAAATATTGATAATTATTAATCTCAATTTATCTCCATCTCAATATTTTTTATGCCAATAGTATCTTTTCCCATTATTATCTATACCAATATTATATATCCCGATACTATTTATGCCGATATCATCCATCCGAATATTATCAATACCAATATTATTTAGTACTATCTGTCCCAATATCAATAATATCGATCCCAAAACTATCAATCTCAATGTTATCCATCCCAATTTTATCAATCTTAATATTATCAATCCCAATACTATTAATCCCAATATTATCAATCCCAACATTATCAATACCAATATTATCAATCCCAATATTATCAATGCCAATAATATCCATCCAGATTTACCCATCCCAAAAAAATCTTATCTTTCCCAACATTAACCCTCCATAATTTATCTATTCCAATATTAGTAATCCCAGTAATGTCTTTTTTCAAGTTATTTTAACAAGTTCCTTATTTTGTATGTGAGCACTTGTCATGCCCTTGTAGCCTCGTATGTAAGATTGCTTCAAGAATACTTGTTAATAACAATAGGTGCTCCTACTAGTTATGCAAACTTATAAATAACAATTAATATTTTTGTTTCCCGGTGCAAAACAATTATCATAATAGCTAAATATTTAAAAATGTAAAGTGCATCCATGACACCTACCGGGAATTTCTGAAACAATAAGATTATTTACTCCTCTGCCCAACCTGCTGCGTAGTTCAAGTTTTTGTTTAAAGGTTCCGGCCACCTTTACAGGGAAAAATACCGGAAATGCTGCAAACCATGTTATTGTAAAATGTACTTTCTTTATTTGATGTAAGAAATCTAGTTCTCTTTTGGTACTTGAACCGTTCGCGCGACGTTTACGACCAATAACCATAAAATTTTAAAGTTTTTAATCGAATTGTTTTATGAATTATTCTTTTAATCTGTTTTAATGAAATAAAATACTTTTAAACATCTAATTTGTTTTTGTTGAGTATAAAAAAAGATTTATTTGATCATATTTTTTTAAAATTTGTTTATGAAACCGGCAAACTAGTTGATTGCATCTGTATTCAGAGGGGCTATAGGGGTTAAGTCAACCTGGATTAATGAAATCCCATCCCCCTCAAAAAAAAAATGTAAGCCCCCCCAAGACAAATTCTTGACTACGCCCCTGAATAACGCAAATTATATCAGAAGTTATGGTTTGATTGAGCCAAATTAGCCTCTAATTAAAAGCTTGATTAATTAAACATTAATATATTACACCAAAAGCATTTATTGCTTTTTAGTAATTTAAAAAAAATAAATATAGGAAAGACTATCATTGAGATATGTACTTCTAAATGAAACATTGCATGAAAATCTAAGGCGCAAAATTGTAACTTAAATTAATTGTGTTTTAAAAAATTCAAGAAATTATGGCGATGTGTCTGCATTTTCAAAAAGGTGAACAATCTCTTTAAAAGATGATATTTCTTTAAATTTTAGGGTTTGTGACTTTTAGTTTAAAGATGAGTCGGTCTATTGCGTAATATATATTCTAAAAGGAGTAAAGATCCTTAAACAGAAATTAATTTAGTTTTGGACAAAACAAACCATCTGTTCATCAAACAGTGTGAATATTTTTTTAGAGTTTAATTTTCATAAAAAGTTTCCAATAAAAGCAATGGTGGGTTATCAAAAACTAAATTTGCACCTCAACTATGATTTAAATAAATAACATGATTTTCTTTTAGAGAAAAAGGTCCAGTATCATAGAATTCACACATTTATTTACCATAATTCGTAAACCCAAAGATATGGCAATTTGCAAACGCAGGATCACATTTTGGAAGAATGAAAATTTTTGCAAATATTACAAAAAAATATCATTTTTATTAGAACCTATTGAATATCTGTAGTTTTAGATTATTTGAAAACGGTTTTTATAAAATATAAATATAGATAATATTGTAGAAAAATAAAATAACGCAAAGTTTCGAACTAGAGTTTATCCCAATTTGCACAAAATTGCCTGAGGGGGTTAAACACAGATAAAACACACAAATTAGCAAATTGTGACAGTTAGATGTTTAACTCCTAATTAGGATTGTTGAGGGCGTAGAGCTCTCTGGTTTGATGAGAGTTCAGTTCCTCTCCGGTACTAGATCAGATCACATCTCACACTCTCACACCAGCGTTAAGGTTTCCAACACCCGGCTACAATCAAACCCCGCGAGTCTTGAATTAGATTTATTAAAATGATTTCATATTTTTAGTGATAAATCAAGCTCTCTATTCGATTCTAAGCAATTTATTCTGGTAATATTTGTTTTTCATTTTTAAGATTAAATCTTTTAAAAAATTATATTTGAGAATGATGAATAAATAGTGATTAAAACTACCTAAAAATGTACACACGAAGAGGATCTTTTAACCTGTCAGATTCACAAAATGATTCAAGGAAAAGGATTTTTTTTAAATTTTATTTCAATTTAATATCTAAGAAAAACATATAATATAAAAAATAAATTTATATTTAAAGCTACTCACACTGTAAAGAGATTGTCGTTATAATTTCACATGAACATACATATAAAGAGGACCATGTCTGATTCACAACAGTACCCTTCTTTATTTTTTTCTGAACTATTTATTTTTAAAAAATGCCTCCATATTTTCTGTGGCATAAATCCACACAGTCTCTTTGATAGAGAACCCACAGTTGAAAAAAGTCTCTTTTTTTTAAGAAAAAATACTTTTTTATCCCTTTTGATCAGACTACGCTTTTATGATTACCATTGCGCATTGTACATGTTGCTTAGCTTAAATATATTCTACAGTTCCTCTCCAGACAGTCTGCTGAATTTTTTCTAAAATTAAATCCGTCCCGATCAGTTTCTCATCCGGAAGTAGTTACGGCCGGTCAACCGGGCGAAGATACAGAACTCCCCCTTCCCTCCCCACGCCAGTATATGATGATGATACATCAGATTGCTACTGTAGGGTCTCATCAATTATAAAGGTACAACATGGACCAATCTGATGATAAAGCTTGTTAAAGTTTGTTTACATAATCAAACAATTTTTTCTGAAGAAAATCTTGATAAACTATTCCCATTTAACTTTGAAAAGTCCGAATTTTTTCACTTCTTACATAAAAGATATCTTTGCCACAAGCTCAAGTTTTCTCATCCCTGTATTTTTTTCACCTGAGCTGAAAACTTTAGAAGGTGGATATCGAGATTAATGCTTGATCTCCTCTTTTTCGAGATTAAATAATGCTTGTTCTCCTCTTGTTATTAATCTCCAGATTAAATTACATATCGGGATTAAGGATATCCCATTCTAAAGTTTTCAGCTCTGGTGGTGTAAACCTTTGATATTTCAAACTTAGATTATTTGATCTAACAGAATTTATAATTTGACATATCTAAGGTCTAAGACATTTGGTTGCGAAGGTATAGCTAGGGATAAGACAATTAAAATTTGTAGCAAAGACCGATTTCTTGCGTTTTTCTAACGATTAGCTAACTTTTTTGTTTGAGTTTGAACAGTGATGAAGAAAAAGGTTTAAAACCATTTTATTTACAGGTTTAAACTTTTTTTTTTAAATATTAACATAATTTTTAATTCAGGGTTTGCTTTAACCTGCAGACCAAAACTTTTTTTAATTCCATTACTGGATAACCAGAAAACACATGAAATATTCCTGTCTTCCTTTTTTCTTTTATCTATTAAGTATAGCTGAAAAACTATATACAATTTATTTACAATCAGTATATATTCTTTCAAAAATTACAATCTATGTAAATGAATGAACAATCTATATGTATTGTAAAATCTATGTACAATCTGTGTACAATGTATGTACACTGTACAGGCTGCATTGTTCCTTGTACTGGTGGCTGGTGGTGCAGGAGGTTTAGCGTACTGGTTTATCAAGTAAGAACTATTTTTTTATTTAAAGAACCAAGGCAGCCGATATCACCCTGGACCATTCAGGACTAGATGTGTTCGGTTTCTTTAATCCATCGACAAAAATTATAAAAGAGAAAAAAAACAAAGGAATTAAGTTTTTACCATAAACTTAACTTTTCAATTCCTTATATATTTGCAACCTGATGGGGTAAATTGGCGATACTTCAAACTTATATTATTTGACCTAACATAATGTATAGTTAAAAATATCAAAGGTCTGTGAAATTGGGTTGCAGAGTCTTAGGGATTAGAAAAATATAGTTTGTGGCAAAAAACTCAATTCCTTTATATTTCAAATTTCAAATTGTGGAAGAGAGTCACTGCTTGATGTGAAAATAACCAAACTATTAAATCAGATTGAGATATCAAGCTTTAAAACAGTTTTACAGATTCAAAGGAACTGATTACTTGCCAAAAACTCTAACTCATATATCTTTGCAACTTGATGATATTATTAACCTTTGATTTATAAACTATTTGACTATTTGTTCTCGCAGAGTGCATAGTTTAAAAAATCTTAATTTTACGAAATTAGGTTACGATGATGTAAGGGTTTTAAAATTAAAGTTTGAAACGAGTTTCATATCCGATATAACCTTTTGAACTTTCTAAATAATAACTTATTTGTAGATTTTATCCAATAATTGATCCAATGAGTTGTTATGAATATATTTTGTTTAGCTACCGAGGGGGAGATGTAGATTCTAATAACAGTACTGACCCTGGCCCTACTTTAGACAGTCTTAGGTAATATGAATGATTTCAATTTTTTGAATCAATATTAATTACGATATATTTGATATTAATGTCATAGATTTCCAGATTTGATTGCTCCCATTTTATTGTACATAAATATAAAATATACTGAACAAAAAGTTACACTAAGTTTATTTTTTTTTTATTTGCAAATGGGCGTTCAAGGGTGGGAGGCATACCTTATTTGGTGGCTCCTTATATTTTATACACTGCCCTAAAATGGCTCCTTACAATTTATACACTGCCCTAAAATGGCTCCTTATAGTTTATACACTGCCCTAAAATGGCTCCTTATAGTTTGTACACTGCCCTAAAATGGCTCCTTATAGTTTATACACTGCCCTAAATGGCTCCTTATAGTTTATACACGGCCCTAAAATGGCTCCTTATAGTTTATACACTGCCCTAAATTGGCTCCTTATAGTTTATACACTGCCCTAAAATGGCTCCTTATGGTTTATACACTGCCCTAAAATGGCTCCTTAACTTGATTTCTCACAACTTTACCTTTTCAAAGGAATTGAGTCTTTGTCACATACTCTGATTTTCAAATCACTATATCTTTGGAACCAAATGTTGCAGACCTTAGATATTTCAAACTATAAATTATGTTAGATCAAATAATCTGAGCTTGAAATATCAAACGTTTACAACATCGGGTTCTAAAGATATTGAGGTTTAAATATTTGATTTTGTTCCAAAGACTCAATTCCTTTACAATTATCTTGTAAAAAGAAAATTAAATAAAAGTTATTTGAATTGTAATTGACTACAGATGAGGAATTCGTTTATAGTAATATTATAAAGAACGATCTGCCCCCTCAAATTAGGTAATTTTAACTAACCCCCCATTTAATGATTCACAATTCGATATACCGCCTTCAAACCTTTTTCTGAATAAAGATGATGAAGTTATTTATGTTTTTTTTTAGTCAAAAATCTATTCTTTGCGTTTAAAAGTAACACTGATTTTTGCGTTACAGAAACAACGAGGAAATTACTAGAATTGAAGTCTCTTAAGCAAGAAAAACGACGAAATATTCCATACTTTTGATGAAATAAAGGTTTTATGGGTACTGTTGTGAATCAGCCATGGCCCTCTTTGAATGGAGGGTAAATTAAATTTACAAAGCTTAAAATCAACCCTTTTTGCATGAATAATATTTTTACGTTGTGTTACACCAAGGAAATTAGCTTTTATGAAAGTAATTAAAATTGTAAAAATTTTATTAATTAACCTTTGTAATCCAGTGAAAAAGGTTTTATGTGTAAGTTTATTCATTTTTTGATTCACTTAAAGAATTAGGACACAAGTAAAAAATAGAATTAGGTTGTTCTTTAATTATAACATTTTATCATTATATCTGTGTAACCTTATGGTGTAACCCTTTAATGTTTTAAACTTTATCTTGTAAAAATTCAAAGATACAAAGGATACAAAGAAAATTAGAGTAGGAATCAAGGAATCAGTTTACATCCTCCGATTACAAAGATATAGCGATTAGAAAATTAGAATTTGTGGCTCATTTCCTGATAGTAAAACTCTAACGTTCTTTATACTTCTTTAGTTTCGTTTTCTTGTATTGAAAAACCTTTATGTTGTAAGTTTATTTGCGTAATTTCAGAATTATTATATCCTAAACATAGATTAATAGTATCACAGATGTCGTCTTTTCAAAATATAGGGGTTTTACGTTCACAATATTCCTGAGGAAGAAGCCCAAAGAAGTTCAGCGCAGGCAGCGTTTAATTACAAGAAATATAGAGAGCACGCGCGTAACTCCTTTGGACCTCTGTCTCAGAGTTATTGTGAACGAAAAACCCCAATATTTTGAAAAAACGACATCTAGAGCTCTATTTGCATTGTTGTTAATCTATGATTATTATTAAAAATCTTGAAGAGTCCTTCTGAATGATATTTAGGGACCAACTGCGAGGTGTTCTTGAAATATTTGATGGTGGGGACCATGTTGATCAGATCACTTCAAGACAACATAAACTTGGGATTCCAGACGATCAAGATCATTCTGAAATCAGTGATCATGATAATGTGATCGGAGATATTGATGATAATCCTATAAATCAAAGCTTTGAGAACTATCGTGACGGTCGGACAGGTAATAATGAGGTCTTTTATTTTTAAATCTAGTTTCAAACTTTCAGGTGGAAATTGCTTTGACAGAAGAAACAATATTGAGAAGTTTAACATTATACATTTACAATATAAATTCATTGTTTTTTTATATTATTCAAGCAAATTCCTTTCAAGTTAGAAAATAATGATATTTAACATAAAAAATCCGACCAAGCTTGAACCAATTTTCAAGTCGCTCGTGGTGAGAGATATGTAAAGAAAAAACAACCCCCACGTNAAAGAGAAAAATTGATTCTTAAAGAACAATATTTAGGAAAAACCAGAACAACAACACAAAAAACTTCTGAAATATCAACAACAACAACAACCTCAGAGGAGTATCAACCAACAACCATTAAAAACACAACAGCATTCAACAACCTAGTAGAAAATGTTGCAATTCAAGAAACATCTGATTACGCAACAACAACTGATTCATTGTCAACTCCTGGTTTTGAAATTAATACCGATTATTTGGCAACAACCGTTGATTCCGTTGCAGCTGCTGATTCCGTAGCAACCGCTGATTCCATGTCAACAGATAATTCGTTGACAACAGCCAATTCCGTGATAGCAGTTGATTCCTTGACACCAACCAACGATTCCTTGACTACAACCGCCTATTCTTCTTCGACCAACACTGATTCCAACACCGCTGATTCCAACACCGCTGATTCCACCACCGCTGATTCAACCACCGCTGATTCCACCACCGATTCAGATATAGAAACTGAACTGATCAGCCAATTATCAGACGAGCTTGCGACAACTAAACGATCTATTAAACCAGTCACTGAAGAAACAACAATAAACGATGAAGTTGCGATTACTGAAAATGATCCAACAACCATTACAACTACTACTAGTGAGGAAAGCACAGATGGTGCTATATCAACGGAAGCGGAAACGAAATCGGAAAGAACGACAGGAAAGTTCGAGTTTAAACCTAGAAACCCGGGAATAAGAACCTACACTGTTAATCCATCTGTTCAAACAGGTTAGTCAATACATCCATCATGTTAGTCATTACACCTTGTTAGTCATTACATCCATCATATTAGTCATTACATCCATCATATCACGTTAGTCATTACATGCATCATTTTAGTCATTACATCCATCATGTTAGTCATTACATGCATCATGTTAGTCATTACACCATCATGTTAGTCATTATTAACAGGAATCATGTTGGTCATTTCAAAACCAGGCATTATGTTAGTCACTGCTAAGAGGAGTCATGTTAGTAATTTTTAACCTATTGTTAGTCATTTTAATCGATCATGTTACTCCTGGCAAAGTTGTTCCTTACAAATTTGTGATAAACTTTCACGGATTTGCTGGGTTTTAACTTTTAAGTATACCCCTCATTAGCCTTTAGCCAGAAAAAAAAGTTCAAAAACAAATTAAATCCTGTGAAACTTATATTCAATGTATGTTTGTATTGTGTATTCTAAATGGTCAGAAAACCGTGGGAAAATATTCTTCCTTCTTCTNTGTATAGGCGGTAATTGTACATCAGACAAATATTTCTTATTCAAATGAAGTACCGTCTGCAAAGCATGTTTATAAATCATATGGTAGGGCGAACCGCGTCAGTTATATCTCCCTTATATTCCTTACTCCCTGAGTATCCGTGAACAACAATAAAAATATTCATGAAGAATACATACAAGGTGTCTCTGAAAAAAATTTGTGTTTATGCATTTTAGCCTAATAAACATAATTGTTTTGTGTTAAAAAGTGCTTCTAGTAGGTATAATACACATAAAGTGTGCTTCTAGTAGGTATAATACACATAAATTGTGCTTCTAGTAGGTATAATACACATAAATTGTGCTTCAGTAGGTATAATACCAATAAATTGTGCTTCTAGTAGGTATAATACACATAAATTGTGCTTCTAGTAGGTATAATACACATAAATTGTGCTTCTAGTAGGTATAATACACATAAATTGTGCTTCTAGTAGGTATAATACACATAAATTGTGCTTNTACACATGATGTCCCACAAAAAAATTGGGCCCGATCGGTTCAGCCGTTTTGACGTTTATTGGATACAAACAAACAGACACCCAAACAGACAAGCCAAATTTATATATAGATATAGATAGATAGATAGATAGATAGATAGATAGATAGATAGATAAATGTGGGAAAATTCTCCTAGAATAGCGGGATCTAATTCTAGACTTGAAGTGACTTGAGTAGTATGATGTAAATCATACTTGTATATATTTATACATATTTATATATATTTATAGACCTGACAAACCTAATCTATAAATTACAATTTACATGTATATTTACCAATAATCATTATTATTTATAATGTATATTAAGTACATTATTAGACTACGTCTGATTTACATAAGGAGATATAAAACTATAATGAGGTAGGGGGGATAAGTTTGTGTGTACGTTTATAAATGTGTGGGTCTGATTATAAAAAATGTTGTGCAACTGCAGTGTATGATCGCTGGTTAAACTAACTTTCTTTATATATTTCCCCAATCAAAATTTGAAACAAATCGGTCCAGGGGTTCCTGAGTTATGATCATACAAACAAACAAACAGACAAACAGAGATTACAACTTTATATATATAGACATAAAAACTCTATTCCCCTACCTTGAATAGTTCTACATGACATTGAATTAAATTTTTTTGTGTTATGTTCAATTTTGAGCACATGACGAAAGTTTTAAATTACGAACCTAGTAACCTTATAGGTTTATATAAAAAATTTGTTTTAAAAAACTAAGAAACTCCAAAATGTCCCACATAATCATCATCTTAAAGGAACTGTACAGGTAATTTTAAATGACCCTCCATTTCTGGAAATGCCCGAATATTTTATCTAACGTGGTTGCTAAAAATTCGAATGAAAACAGTTATTTTTTAAATAATATAAAATAGCTTGCATCAACTAGCGTTTCTGCGAATAGAAATTAAAACATCAATGATATCCTTGATCTGTCACCGTTGTGAATGAGACATGCCATGTCAACAAATGAAGGGTTACTTGAAATTACGCCTACAGTCTCTTTAACAATGTACTGTGTATGCCGTAGGGCAAATTAGCTGCCCCGACATTAATAATAGTAAACAATTGAAAAGATGACAATGATCGCCAGGAGCATTTGAGTTAATTGATTCTAACAATCCTCTCCTCCTCTTCCCACACCCGTAGGGGTAAACAACCAGAACATTGTTCCAAAACACTTAACATTTTATTTAGACTTATTTATGTCTTTGTTTTACTTGATTTCAGCTTCAAGCCATATGTGTGTACCATTGTTTAACCATCTTCATTCTTCGGCCTTTGTGCTTTTACACCAAGCAGTGCATGAAGATAAAACCAGAACATCTACTGTACGAACTGTACTGAACAATTCAAAATTTAAAACACCACATAAAAGTTAATAAAACAATGCAAACTGTTTGCTTTAGTTTTTTCTCTTTGTACACTCGTATACATACTTTCCCTCAGTACAGTCTTATAAATACTTTCCCTCAGTACACTCTCATTAATAAATGCTAATGCTCTGTTAAAATCTAATACTCTCTGATACTCTCTGATACTTTCTGATACTCTCTGATACTCTCTGATACTCTCTGATACTCTCTAATACTCTCTGATACTCTCTGATACTCTCTGATACTCTCTGATACTACATAAGACTCTCTAATACTCTTTTATACTTATGTATATTTTATATAAAAAATTTTCTAGCCGTTGCGTTAATGGTTAGTTCCAACCGTTAAGCAGAAAAATTTCAGGTAGCCATTAATGTAAAGATTAGAACGAAACGTTCATTTTTTCAACGGCATTTACCGTTTTTTTAATTACCTTTAGTTAACAATATCAATTTTACTAACAACGTTAACGGAAAATTGTCAACAATTGTTAGCGCCGAAAATAAATTTTTTAACGATTATGAAATCGATATCGGCGCAGCCGGTCTTTTGAGTATTAACGGTTTATCAAATCGTTAACGACACTAGTAGTTGAATTATATTTATCCTTTTCTGCACACTGACTGAATAGTATCAAATCAACTACATTTATCCTATTCTGAGGAGAAATCTGATTCTTTTACGGCTGGACAAACTCAAAATTTTTTTAATCAAAATGCAAATGTACCGCGATCTATTCTCAACATTTAAAGTTGTGAAAACAGAAGACAACATTTAAAAACATCAAAAAAGTAAAACAAATTTTTTTTACAAGTTTAATGCAATTTAAAGCAGAAAAACGTTCCGTGCTCGTTTTCAACCGTTTTTTCTTCTTTCAAAAACGGCTAATCCGTTTCGTTAACGGTTTAAAAATTAACGGTGTTTGCCGTTCGTTAACCAACTCTTACGTAAATTTAAAAAAAAAAGCTCCGTTCCGTTGCACAGCCGTAATTATGCATAATAATATCACATCTGCACTATTCCTTGAATTCGATGCATGGTTTAAAGACTTATAATATTACTAAAACATGATTATAATCCAATATCACAGTGTTCCAACTATTTTGAAATTTTCTTTGTGGTTTAAAGTAGACAATAAGGAAGGTATTAATGATGAAGTTGGTGCTAATATGTTCACATTAAAATGTATTTAATAATCTCTAAAGAAATTGACAACTTCAAATTAACGTTTAATTGGTTTTGTGAATTATAAAAAACATTTTGACACCATGAAAGATAAATTTCAACGTAAATAGTTTTAAGCTTAAACGGTATTTCCACTGAAAATACCTTCAAAACAACAGTTATAATTTAACCTTCAATAAAAATCTAGAAATCTAGAAATAGAAAAATCTAGACCATTTTCTTCCTCGTCTGGCATATAATAGTTTTAAATTTTCAGATTATTTACTGCAAAAATATTAAACACTGCATCTAGTACCAACCCGTGTACAGTACAGGCTAATTTGCTTCTGATTGGTCCAATCATTAGGCTTATAGTGTACATTTTACTGTGAGTACCATAAAACTGTGGAAAAGGAAATCAACTGTTGGACTAAAGATACAATTTTAAATAGTCCAATGAGCAATGAGCAACTGTGCAGTGTAAACAGACACCTTGTTTATGCATATAATTCATCGCTATGATTTTTACAAAAATTATGGTACCACAAGTTTAAGGAAAACTACTGGCTGTTTAACCCCTGAAAATCTTCTTTAATTTTCTGTTTAATTTTGAGAAAATGTTTCATTTTACCTTCACCTGGTCATAAGTTAACACACGCACATGTACAGTACGCAGTCAGCTGTGTACAGTACGCAGTCAGCTGTGAATTGCGTATTTTTCAAGATCTGACACTCTGCAAGGTATCGTTAATACATTAATTAATAACCATGTTGTCTGCAAACCCAGGGTTTTATAAAACACCGTGAGAATTTTTAAAACCAACATTTTTTAATCAAACTGACCACCTAGCCTATATGTTTTCATTCATTAATATATTTGCATTTAATGATATTTTACAATTATTACCGCTTCTATTTAGAAAAATAAAATCTGTCGATATCAGAAATTTTGGATTTTTCTATCCACCCAGAAACGGTTTTTTATCTTTATAGATCTATGTAGTATTGGTACCAATGTAATTAATTAGTGTTTTTAATTTTAAAAACTTACAAGATTTCAAACCTGTTAAAGTTTACTTTTAATAAGCTTTGCAATGTTTGTATGATAATTAAAATAATTTAATGTAAATATCCAAAAACTATCGTTTTAACACAGAACTTTTTTGATCCTATTTGGTTTGATTTTTTAAATTCATATTCTGTCAGGGTAGAAATGTGTCAAAAATAAGACAAATGTTAAGAATACAAATTTGTGAAAACATTTGTTGTCCTTACACTCTTTGCCAAATTTTAACCATAAAAGAAAACATAGGCAAAAAACCTAATGCTTTAGTGACTAGGTATTCCTATACTTCTGCAATTTTTCTCTTTAGCAAGAAATATTTTTTATTCTCCTTTTTTCAGAATTTCTTTTTG